GGGCTTCCCGGGCTCTGGCGGAGGGCCTGGGGGGGGGACATGCAACATCGGCTGCTGAGGGGCGTGTGTGGGCAGCTGGAAAGCCGGGTCTGACGGTAGGCGTGAATTTACTAAGGGACCACACCTCTGTTGGGAAATGCAGGGATCTACGTGTTAAGAAAGGTTAAAATTAGCGTCTGTTTCACTTTTCGGGAGTGGTTGTAAACATTTTGCTGCGGGATCTTGCTGTGATCATCCCGCCGCTCCATGAGTCGAGCTTATTCGATCGGGCACTTCAACTCTGCTCTCTAGCGCGCTCATTAGTTTCTGAAGTTCAATTAAAATACTGTGTCTGCCCGTCCATCCCCCCGTGCATTACACTACCTTAATATATTAAGATCCTGTAAACCTGTTTTCTCAAGGAAAATAGGCCCATAAAGACACCACAAGTAACACCCAAATAACAGTCTCAAACACTGTCAAACAGGCCTGTTTGCACCTCATGAATAAAACAATATTCCTTCAGAAAATCCTGTTCTATCCTACTGTCTGGTGCTTTTTATCAGCATAGCAAGGCTCCAAGCATGTTATTTCCATACCTTAGTACCCATTTTCCCATTTCTTGACCATCTCTTTTGCCACCCTTGTAGCTCCCTTTCTTTGCCCCTGCATGACCCTCCCCTCATCACTTTTCCCTGTTGTTCCTAGTTTTGCTGTATCTGTACCCACATCCAGTATTTCTGATACCATTACTTGGGCAGCCTTGGCCTTGCGCGGCGTTACTGAGGTACTGATATGGTTATTGGGCACTCTTGGCCCTGCAAGTTTCTAGTTTTGAAAGGACCCTCAAAACTACCCTCCAGTTATCTGTGTAGTTCAGTTTTTCCTCACATAACTCCCCCTTAACCACCAGAAATCCAGCCACCCCTCCCAGCGCTATCTGCAGCTTCTCACGCTGTTGCACGTCACGTTCAGCAGTTTCACGTGTCATATCCAGGAGTTTTACGCACCCCGTTCACTTCGCTCAGGCCAGGGCCGCGCAGCAGCAGCACTTACTGACTTGCCTGCGGCCCTGACAGATCCCAAGGTGCTGCTGGTGGAAGAGGTTACCTTGTTTAGCTGGGCATCACCAGCACCACCATCACAGCTACCTGCTTTTGGGAATTCTGTCCCAATTAATTTCCATCAAAATAAATGCTGTAAATAGTAGTTCTTTGTGATTCTGATCCATTGGAACTGAAATGGGGTAGGAAGTTCTTGCATAAGCAGTTTTGAGCAGCGTTGTTTGCAGCTGCTCAGAGTCTGAAATTGTTTACATTTAAAATTTCCCAGGTCTGTGGCCTGGGGATGGAGCCAGTGTGTTAATATTTCCCTAGCTGTTGCCAAGCAATGTCTGGATGAAAGGTTACATCCCAAATAATTGGTTTTGCATAACAAAATTGGAAAGCGACACAACCAGCCATTTCAATCCAATCTACACAGTGGAAACAGCCTGCGTTTTAAGAAGTATTTCTAACATGTTTTCATAAACATATTTAATCAGAAGCATAGACAAAACATAACCTTAGTGTGTCCTGGTTATTACCTTTTAGCTATTGGCCTACAGCCATTATACTTTATTGAAGCTGCTAAAATGTTATTAAAGACTTTCTCTCCTTTAATTCCAGAGCAGTTTCCATTTCTGAGCTGCTTACTCACCTCTTACTAGCACTGTAAGCTGCCCTCCCAGTAGCCTAGCCTCATACTGATAGGACTCTATTTGCACATCCCCGCCGCCAGAGACTCTGAGTTTGCCTTTTCACTTCAGGGGCTTCGTAATATCTCAGACTCACTCTGTAGCGACTGCTGTGCACTTCCACTGCAGTGGCTGCATGGTCCCCGCCAACCTGGAAGGAGATCCGAGGAACAGAGGGAAGCCTCCTGCAAACATCGGCGAGACCTCCCTTCTCCTGCTGAGTGCTCTCGGCCACCCCTGGAAGGTATTCTAACTGAGGTTGTGGAAGTCTGGGTTGTTGATCTAAGGCTGCCTCTCTTACAGTGAACCACAGTGTGACAAATATGCCACCATACTATATGTATAATGGCTGGCTGCTTTAGGAAAAAAACACACAAACTTTAAAACATTACAGTTAAAAGAAATACCTTCCTCTCCCACCAGTAAGGTGACAAAGTATTCAGAAGCAGAAACATGAAATGCCTGAGTATGAGCAGCTGGTTAGAGGACAGAAATCTAATTCTCTGCTGAAACAAAGGCAAAGAGAAAGTTCACACTTGTTCCATTCTAGTTTGGCTTGTATGACAGCTGTCTCATCATCACCCACTGCATTTGCCCAGCCATTAACCCAAGACAGAGAAGAGACCTAAGAAACAACTTAACAGTAGGGAATAGAGAAAATGGGGTTGTACAGGCTGCGTGAGGGAGCTGGGGTTACTGCAGCAGGGCAAAAGTTGCAAGAAAGTACAGCTGTTATGAGACTATGGCATTGTTGTGCAGGGTGGCTTAACATGAAGAGCTGGATCAGTTACAGGAGGCAAAGGACTTAAAATAGGAAACAAAGGTTTGTATGTCATGTTACTTGAGAATAACTTTTAAAAAAATTTGAAAATTAGAAAATAGAAAGACTGAGTACCTGGTGATGTTACAAGTAACATACACAGGGAAGGAATATATCTAGTGGCTTTAAACTGGAGATGAGAATTTTCCTGTATTCAAGTCCCTTATAATGAGAAATATGACCATATTCTAAAACAACACTGGAAGTTAAATAACTAACTCCCATCCTTAGCAATTTATGTATATTTGAACAGTATGGCTCTTCAAAAATCTTCCGAGTATGGCTTTAAGACTCCAATTTTGCAGTTTATTCTACATCAACACAGTGAAGTGTGTTCAGATGCACACAAAATTCACAAGGGAAGAAGGTGTACAATTCATTTCGCCCTCAAAAAAGGATGATAAACTTCTGTGGACTTCTATGATGCATAATTGGCCAGATCAAGCACTCCTTAATTACTAGCAATATTAGCAGCAACCTAGGTTTTGTACTTCAGGCAGAAATCTCTATGATCTCACACAGGCACAACAACTGCTGCCTTCAAAATCATCAAGTATTCAGTTCCTAAATAGGTCAAGGTGTTTCAAGTCCTCTAAAATTCAGTTTCCCCACTATTACAAAAAAAAAAAACAAGCAAACCAGAAGCCTTGCATTTCTGTTATTTCATTATAATCAATAACTTTTTCTTCTCTGCTCCTTGTGGCTAATATGACAGTTCACAGCAAACAATAGTTGCTTGTCAAATCATAAAAATCTTATGAAAATGCTAACATGGGGCTTGGTTAATACTTTCAAGAATCCCTTTCTTCTACAATTTGGTTGTAGGGGTGTACTTTTTAATTTTGATGCAGAAGGCTGGAGGCATTTTCAGAACTGAGGAGAACTGAGTATTGCACTACAGTTGGATGAACTCGAGACTGGAAATTCAGCAGTACAAAATACAACGTCATGCAGTTGGGAAATAAGAACTTTTGCTATAAAACTGGGAGCTCATAAATTACATGATGAATATTAGTTGAGGAAAACTGAGGCATAAGAAAGAGAAGTATTAGCTGCAGAAGACATTGCTGGGGTTTTACCTGGAATGCTATACATAATTGTGCTCATCCAATGTCAAGAAAATGTTACGATCCAGAGGAGTGAAAGAAATAGTTGTCTGAAGGAATGGAGAACCTATCACACCAGAAAAGGTTGTAGAGATTGTCTCAATTAGCCTAGGATAGCAAAGCACGTCTGTAGTTTTCCATTTGTTAACGCATCACGAAGGTGACCATATCAGAAGAATTACGTAACTTTGCTGTCTTAAATAGTGAACTAGACTTGATGGTCATGCCTTTCAAACTTCTGTTCGTACGCCTACATTGGAATATATTCACTATGAAAAATGATCAGGTCTTTTATGCCATTGCATTAAAAGAATTGTGAGAATTTAGGTATCTAAATGAGTAAAAGATTTGTGGAGTAGCATCAAAAGTGACCTCCCCTCCCCCAGGTTGTCATAGTTGATAGTGTAATAAAAAAAAAATTACAATTGTATAGAAAACCAAGTAATTTATTTAGAAAATTTAGAACTACTCACTTGTATATTCATAGAAGTATCAGAGTCAGAAAACTAAGCAATTTCTGGTATGAAGTTCTGTGTAAACATATAAAGAAAACAAATTATTTGATTACAAACAATTGTACTGCACAGATTTGTGAAATTTCCCTTGCAGAACAAATGCAGCTGGTGTGTAATGTTATTATCTTGTTCTAATTTTCACTGTTTCCCTCCTATACAAAGATTCAAAGCCAAGTGACTGTCATGCTTTGATAAGCAACATGCCAGCAGGCAGAAAGGACTGCAAGAGCCCCACTGAGAGAATCTGTCAGCTTTTCTTTGACCTATAAAGTTCTGTTTTGGTAGATGACAGGGACTTAATCTTTTATATAATTATTATACAGTAGATAAACAAAACTGAATTTAGTTAGATTGAACTTTCAAATCTTGTATTTTAGATTCAGCTAAGTTTGTACTTAGTTTAAACTATCTCTTCATTTTACTCTTTCCTTCTTTCCATCATCGTTTATCTGTTCCAGGTTTCTTTCACTGTATGAAGTGTGGAATTTTTCTGAGTTGTAAGTAAGTTTAGAAAGTTTTAGTCTGCAAAAGGAACATCTAATTTAAAAGAAGGTACTATGCTGGGCTTCAAGGCCTCACAATCTTTAAGCTTGAAAAATCTACTCAAATTTAAAAGTACAGCTTATGTCAGTTAAAGCAAAAACTTCTATAATTGCTCCCTTTGTATTATTTTGGTCTGAAATTCCTGGTATTAGTTATGAGTGGTATTTAGGAGGTTTCACGTAAGAAAGGCCCTAGTTTTGCAAACATATTGCTGTAAGCAATTGTCTGGTGAAAAAATAAATTAAATTACTCGAGTCTTACAATAATCAATCCTCTGTGTAGTAGTGCATTGTAAATAGAATTCCGCATTTGTGGAATCTGGAATATTTTCTGGAGTGAAAAATGCTGACACAAAAATACTAAAAATAGAAAGTATCACCCTGATCATAATGTTATGCTGTGTTGTTGAAAATACTTATGCCCTATATGAATGTGACAAAAAAGTCGGAACCCAATTAGAACTTTAACAATGTTATCGACAATTGCAAAATACAAGTTTACATAGAGCTAAAATACTTTCAGTTATCACACACCATAATGGTCACTCAGATAATCTAGTACTGCTGAGGTACTTGATAAAACATTAAAAACTTTTTTTTCTTGTTTTGAAGTTATCCGTTCCATCATGTACATTAAGTGGTGGTGAAAACACGTAAAAGGAGTTCCATGCTCGAGAGCAATGTCAACCCAGTCCTGGATGCACTTCAAAGGTGTCTCTTCGTATCCTGCAAACATAGCTGGATTTGCTAAGAGTCCTCTAGCCACCATTATACCTTCAAATTGGAAATTAAAGAAGTAAGTTACATTATATTTTAAATTCTACATTAAACCTTCCTGTAGGTTTTGTATAGCACCCCTTAGGACAACCACCTGAAGCTTACAGACAAGTAATGGGAGAACAACAGGGATGATTCTATGATTCTGTGAGTACTATAGCTATACCAGAGAAATCCATTTAATAATCCAAACTTCAGAGTACCTACACCACCTGTCAACACTTTCAACTTGATGATGTATCCTTCCAGAAATTTTGAAACGAAACACAGGACACAGAAGCCTTTTTTCCCTGCTTTTTAAACTGCAATTCAATAGTATTTTGTTTTTATTTGCTACACACATACAAGCCTGTCTTTTTAACATAAAATTATGATGGAAGGACACAAGAGTAGCAATATGCTAAATTTAGTAATTTGTAGTGCAACTCACCTGATTCACTGACTTAGAATCCTTCTTCCAGTAAGACCTCAATGTGTCAATTACACAAATCTCAGGGCTCTTGATCTGCAGTAAATCTTTCTGAACAAGCCAGTGTATTTGCAACTATAATCCCAAATTCAGATAAACCCACTCTATTGTAATTTTTCTGTGATTAAGGGATTCTGTTTTCCTGCACTGTCAACATATAGCCTGTCACACTTAAGTCTCTTAAAAAAATAGGATGATCAAAAATGAAGAATTATTTTTGCTATTGTGCATGACAGAAAAAAAAAGATGCTTTATATTTTTGTTATTCAAGAAGGTCAGCCGGGCTATGAGAACATTCTTTTCTGTTACGTATTTCCTTCCTGCTTTGTATTTGGGGGGAAGGTTGCTGTAGCAGTATGGCAGTTCGGTTCAACTATTTTCTGTTGTTGCTGTTAAACACCAATAGCGTCAAAAGAAACCTGCCACATGAACTTTTCCTTATGACACTAGCTACTGTACTCTGTCCTGTTATTCTCTAGCTGTAAGATCCAAAGTGTGTAGATAGAGATCACCTCTTCAAAACATATACTGAATTTCCATGTTGTCTTGAAATCATGGGCAGCTGGAGGAATCTGTTGTGACTAAATAACTGCAGGGCAATCCTTTACCCCAAAATTTTACCATTGAAGTGTAAGACAAGGTAGATACATACCTTGTGTATATCTTGAGTGCAATGCCTCACTTCCTTGAAGCTAATCATCTTAACTGTTAAATATCTGGCTTAACAATATTTCCTTTTTCCGCCATATTTTTACTATAAGAAATCTGCTCCCATCTGCAGGAAGTAGAGATTTCCAAGTGGAAGTTTACAGTTCTTTCAAAGATGATCAGCTCCACAAAGAGACGGAATGAATGTCTGAAGGTCCCCCTGAACTCCACCACTGAGTGATGAGCTAGCATAATAAAGCAAAGAGCTTTTGTAATTTGCCTCGGAAATCATTATTTGTGGCTTTGAATAACAGTGCTCTAGTGCTCTGATGATTACAAGTGATTCTGTTTATGAGTTTATAAGGCATCTAAACCATCCTCTTTCATTTGTCTCGTCAAAGAGTGAAAAGCACTCAAATCGTGTCCTACTTACAACCAAAATAAATACTTTGAAATCTGATTTGTAAATTTACTTAGAAAATAGAGTATGTTTAATCTTACCATCTGCTCCTGTCAAATGATGAACATTTTCAGCATCTTTTAAAGTTTTAATGTCTCCATTAGCCACAATAGGTATAGACACGCTTTGTTTAATTATTTTAATTGCATCATAATGTACAGGCTGATGCCTTTCTTCTACACTTCTCCCATGTACTGTAATCCATGAAACTCCAGTTGCTTCAGCTTTTTGACACAGGTCAACTGTTCTTTTTAAGTCCTCATGGATCCTAAAATTCCAAGGAATGAAAACATTAGATAGTAAGTTACCTGAACTTTATAAAAAGCCCCCCTCCCTCAGGAGGAGTTACCACAGATTTGCATAACAGTATAAGTAAAGAAAATTACTGTTGGAAGATAAAGACTTTTTTTTTTTTTTTTAATAAAGACATATGAGTTTAATGTATTGAAACCACTATTTAATTTAGCATTTCCCAATTATATCATATCTCTGAAATATACATGGTAAATTTTATAGAGATTGAGCAACAGTGTCCAAAAGATTCTAAAATAAACATCATTATTTTGCACATTTTGTGGAAAAAAAAAAAAAATCTGATTCACACTAGTTCCCCTTTCCTGAAGGACTGCAAACTGAGTTGAAACCTAACTCACAAATATGCAAAAGCCACATGGGATATGTGGGTAAACAGCAGATGAAGTGGTACAAAGCAATGCAAAGCAGCAGTTTACAGAAGTTTAGAAAGCGATGAATGGAAGCAGGATGTGTTCCTTACAGCAGCTGTGGGGACGAGTTCCCAGTTTTGTTACCCTTCCCTTTATACCCAGCAGCAACTGCGGCTCTGGCTTCCAACAGCTCACAAAGTAAATCCTTATGACAATACAGCTATGCATTGCTTTTCTTTTATGGAAGCCTAGACCTTTAACTTGTAGTTTCATGTCGTTTGGATTGCAAGAAAACTCTAGCATCCAGTATATTATCTGGTAAGCAGTCAAAGGCTGTGCTGGTTCTACTATCTAAGTTTGGAATTACTTGCCCCAGATATTCTTTCACCATCTGGGGTCAAAAAATCTCAGCAGTCTTCACATGTAAGGAAATTATTATAATGTGTAATATTACATTCACAGAATTACATATATTATAGTGTAACTGTTACACTAACATGTTTCTTTAAAAAAATTAAAAGGATTCTTCCATGTACCACAAACAGCACTTAAGTTAGACCTACCTTATTTTAATAGATACTGAAAATCTAGGGTTGTCAATCTGATTCCGAACATGTCTCACCATATCTCGAATGAGCTCTGGTTTATTTATTAAGCAAGCACCATAACCTTCTGCCATCGCCCATCTTTAAAAGAAAAAAAAATTGTGTTCTACATTTGAAAAAAGGAAGATCAATTTCAAATACCTCAGTTTCTTTCCTTACGACCTGAATGTGTGGTTGAGTAAACAGAGATAGTACTGGCTGTAGATCAATGATTTGTTTGCAGTTTGACACCAGCTTTTAGATCCTGGTTCAGTCTCCATTGTGCTGTTAGAACTTTGGACAAGTTACTCTTCTCTTCCAGTTCGATCTTTTGTCCACAAAATGGACTGACAAGGAAGATAAATTAACATTTAATCAATGATGGTTTAGATCATACATAAAATAAATAGTTTGATCCTTCCCCTTCCATTGGATCATGGACTTCTTCTAAACAGAAAATGACTTTGGACTGAAAAGGAAGATTTTTGAAGTGCAAGTAAGAATATGATTTCAGTAATATTCTGTTTTCCCTCAACTGCAAAACACTTTATTTTGATTGGCAGGAAATATCCTTTGCTTCCACTTAACAGCAGCAGGTTTTTTGTTAAAATTTTTTTCTACAAAGGCAGATTAAGTGCACAAAGTTTTGTTATTTTGAAAACAGCACGCACAAGAAACAAAGGATTCAAATGTAAGCATATACTTCTGGCCTGCAAGGAACTTACAATTGGGCATACTAACTGTAGTTAGCTTAGAAAAAAAATACACTTCCACTCTGAAGTCTCAGATCTCTCCAGAAAACAGTTTTCTCAAACACTATAATTTTAAGTCAAGACAACCTAATTAGAATAGGCAAATTAAGTATGTGCACCATAATATTATCTTTTGCTTTTCTACATTTATTTTTGAGGTCTTCACTTAGAAAAAGACTGCCTGACAAGCATGTAATAAATGGTTCTCAATTGAACCAGTTAGCAAGAATCTTCATTTGTGCATTACTACTCTGTTTCACTGTCAAGACAAAATCTTTATCAATTTAAGTGAGAAGTAGATCACTAATTCACTGTACTTATAAACCTAATAAAAGATGGAAGAAATTCTTTTCAGCACTTCCTGAATAATACAATCTGTTTAATTATATCTTAGAGACTATCCTTCACTTGCCGAAGTCTGAGACATCAGGGACCTGCCTCATTATTTTGGGAATTGCCACATCATTTCTCAAAACACTCTCCAAATTATTTGCAGCAAGCGCTTTTTGGTAATGCATATTTAACAGCTGTTGAGAAGGGATGGACGCTTCACTTCTGAGCCAACACTTAATATCTCAGAAATGAAAAACGGCAAGTTGGCAAATACATCTGGTTTTCCCAGTCTCACCATGGTGACAGGCATCTCAGAACATTCAGAACAGTGTCTTGCTACATAGACATTTCTGACAGGTTAAAAAGCTGTTTCTTTCTTGAAGTCTATTTTTAAGTTAAGACAGAAATTACTATGAGAATGAAGACCAGCATACTTTATTCTCAAATTATTTCATCGTATTTACCCAGCTTTTTCAAAACTTTACCTCTGAGGGCAGCCACAGTTTAGGTCTATTCCATCTGCAAAAGGACAGACGATACGGGCAGCATCACACAAAACCTGTGCTTCTTTAGCAGCAAACTGAACAATCAATGGATGATCACCTACTCCAATGAAAAGATATTCAGAGATTAAAAAACAAACATACAAACAAACAGAAAATAAAAAGAAGACATTCTAAATTGTGAACGTTTCTCATATATTGATAAGCTGTCTGGCCTTGGTCCCGGGCAACTGGCTCTACGTGACCCTGCTTGAGCAGGGGGGCTGGATAACATGACCTACAGAGGTCCTTCCCAACTCAACTATTTTGTGATTCTGCAAGCCCTATATCACAAATAAATAGAGGTAGCTGACCAGTGGTTACTAAATGAGTATGTCTATCAAGAGAGGTGGGAATTCAGACAAACATAATTGTCCTAGACGGTTGCTGGCTCAACATACACATTTTCTGATTGAAATTGGTCAGATGCTTATCTTTCACAAAAATGATATATGTAACTAAGTATTCTCTATTTTTCAGCAGCCTTCATGCTTTCCCTCCTAGCCTGCACCTTCTTGTTTGCATGCTGCCCCTTTGCTGTGCTGACATGGCTGTCTGTCTTGCCAGGTGGGAAACTTGCTTACGGAACCAACCCTTCAGAAAGGAGCTAAACATCCCACAAGCTTTGCCCTTCCTTATCCCAGCCCATCTTTTTCTTCCTCTGTGCCAACATGGCTGTTTTTTATCCACAATGTGATATGCAGAGATGGAATGAGAACACACGAGCAGAGGCAGCTTTAGCAGCGTTGTCTCAAGTGGGAAACCAAAGTGTCATTGCTCCTCAGCTCGAGC